CTGATGATCACAACTGACAGTGAAAAGTGTCATTTGAAATCCTCTCCTAATCTAATGAAAGATGCATTAAGCCTTTTTGAAAAGTGGGTATTCGTATAAAATGATAACAAAGATGAATGGAATTTTAATTACTTAATACTTAATAGTTGCATAGGGAAAGATATTCGTGAAAAGTTTAGTTGTGCAAACGGTGAATTGGACTTAAGAACTGTAATTTTAGTCTAGTAAAGATGTGTTCAGATGGGTATTATAGGAATCTGTATTGAATTATCATTTATTTAGATATTGCAAGTTTGTTGCATTTTGGTGTATATATGAAATGTAATTCGAATTAAATGTTAATAGTAAAATTTAGTAAAAAGAGTCGGAAATTAGAACCAATGAAACGCAAACGAACGACTGTCATAGACGCGAAAAATAACCAGAATCTTGACATGAATAGTGTCATGAACGTGCCTGTCATGAGCGAGAATAAATAATGCTACAGTGCAAGATATGTAACTGGTTCTCCGATCTTATATATAACGCCATATACTGGTATATGTATATAATTTCCACGAATTTACGTATAACGCCATCTATATTTCTGATTTCTAGGATCTTATATTAAAATCCATCTATATTTCTGATACCCCGATCTTACGTATAACGCCCCCCCCCTCAATTCCTTGCTCATTGGCCATTCTGGAAATCCATAAACATTACCATACTGAACCAAAAAAACTTTTATACCTGGGGGCTTCTATCGCTGTATTTTGTATGCGCCGCTTATGACCGGCAGAAAATTTTCATAAATGAATAATACGTATAGCGCCATCTATATTTCTGGCAGTGCGTAATCACTCATTCTCATTCACATTACTTTCTCCAATGAATGAATTCCGTTACATCTCTCCTCAGGAAAAAAAACGACCATGCAGAGGAAGATCCTGGTTGTCGAGGCGGTGGTGGTCGTGATGCTGTCGCTCACGGTTTCCATGGCAACCTCTTACAAGGTGGGGTTTGGGGGGTGTCCCCCTGTCAACCCCATGAACAATTTCCAACCTGCTGAGGTAAGTTTGGGGGGAACTTTGCTGTGATGTGGAGCTTCCTAGTTATAATTACAGCTATAGTTATAATTAGTTATACTTATTATTACAGTTATAATTATAAATATACTTATAATCACAGTCATAGTTATAATTATAGTTAAACTTATAATTTTAGTTATACTATCATAGTTGTATCATACTTACATAGTTATATTTGTGATTATAGTTATAGTCATAATTATAACTATATTTACCGTGCGATCAATTTCAGGAAAGGAAAACCTGGCAACTCAGTTTTTTTCTATTCACCTAACAGCTTGTGCTTGCATGTACTTAGATTTTTTAAATATATACAATATTTTTTTTTTTATTATTATTAGGTTGTGGAAGCATTGATCAAAAAGTCTTTGGGAATGTACCTAGGATGGTGTGAGTCAACCATCACTAGGTTTGACGTGTGTGTGTGTGTGTGTGAGCGATAGATGGACAAATAGATAGATTGCGATGGAAACGGAGCGAGTTTGTAAGCATATCTGTCATTTTACTTGTATATATCTATATATGTATATATATATATATATATATATATATATATATATATACATACATACATATATATATATATATATATATATATATATATATATATATATATATACATATGTATACATATGTATATATATACATATATATATATATATATATATATATATATATATATATATACATACATACATACATATATATATATATATATATATATATATATATATATATATATATATATATATACATATGTATACATATGTATATATATACATATATATATATATATATATATATATATATATATATATATATATATATATATATATATATATATAGTTAGACTGAGATAACTTGAATAACAGATAGAGAGACAGCGAAAGTTTGTAAGCATATCTGCCATTCTACTTGTAAAAATGTATGTGTTTCACAGGTACAGATATAGTTGAATTAAACCTATCCTTTCATAGTAACTACAGCCATTTTTCTTTTTTACTTTATTTTCCTTTTTTTTCTTTTCTTACATAACCCATAAATAACCTCACATGCAGTTGCCGCGATTCCAGTTAAGCAGCCTAAGAAATACCAACATATGCGGATTCACTGTTTTCCTAGCGACTACATTAGTGATTTAGAAAAGAAAGAAAGAAAGAAAGAAAAAAAAAACAGATGGCAATAATAATAATAATAATAATAAACACAATGACAGTAAAGGAGGAAGAAGAAGAAAACAGGCTCATCGGTGTAAGCGAAAGAGTTGTGTCATGTTTAAATACGTAATGAATGTTGGTGAAAAATCTGGTAACTAATTTGTCGAAATTAGTTGTGGTTAATTGGCAATGTGTGTAAGTTGGACAAAGCGGTGAATATGACAATAAAAAAGGTTGAGGTGATAAGAATCAAGGTAGGGACAACGAAACTCTGATAATCGTAGTAATAAGGAAGAAACAGAAGAATAAACTCAGCTCAAGAATCAAGGTAGGGACAAATAAACTCTGATAATCGTAGTAATAAGGAAGCAATAGAAGAATAAACTCAGCTCCTCTCTCATTGCAGTTCCAGGGACTGTGGTACGCGATTGAGATGTTCAGCACGAACAGCAAGTGTGTTACTTTGAACTTTAACCGCCTGGGCAAGAACGACTTCAAGGTCACGGAAGGCAGGGAGTTCGTGGCCGCTCAAGTCGTCGGGATTGACCACTCCTTCAAGACCAAGGGCATTTACAACTCGAGGGCGCCGCACGAACCCGCCAAGTTCCACGCCAGGTGGTCCAATAGTAAGTCTTGCGTGGTTTTCTGTTCTTTTGTTTTTTCTCTATTTCTTTCTCTGTCTATGTCTGTTTCTTTTTGTCTGTCCACGGGCGTCAATTCAGCTTTTCCTTGGGGGGGGGGGACATACAGAAATTTGGAAAACTAGGCATTCTTGGACCTATATGGGTGTAAAATATTAAAAAAAAAGTTGAAAATTTTGACGAGGGGGGGAGAGCTAGTCCTTGAGGGTGGTAAACAGTCTTGGAAGGGACGCCTCTCTCTCTCTCTCTCTCTCTCTCTCTCTCTCTCTCTCTCTCTCTCTCTCTCTCTCTCTCTCTCTTCTCTCTCACTCTCTCTTCTCTCTCACTCTCTCTTTTCTCCCTCCCTCCCCCTCCCTCCCTCCTTCTTTCCCTCCTCCCACACAGAACTTCACAGAACGAAAACACAGATATTAAAGCCCCAGGATATCAACTCCTTTTACCGTGTTACTCTTCTTCCCGCAGACATCTTCGGAGCAGCAGAGGCCATCATCGTAGACACGGACTATTGGCAGTACGCTGTCATCGTGGAGTGTCAGTCCGTCATGTACTTTATGAAGCGAACGTCCGCCATGATCCTCAGCCGCAGGAGGGACCTCGATCTGCGCGTCCTCAACCAGGTGGGTTTAGAGGGTGTATCTACGTGAGGGAAAAAGTAATGATAAAAGAGAATAGTTGATAAGATGAATAGTATTGTGAGAGAAGGGATGTAAAAAAAAAGAGAATAGGTAATTAGGTGAATGGGGGTATGAGAAAGAGGATGAAAAAAAGAAAATAGGTGATTAGGTGAACGGTAGTGTGAGAGAGCGTTTGTTGACTGCCTTGCGTGCTCACAGGTAAAGCGAGATCTCTGCGACGGGTATGGCTTCGACTGCAAGGACTTTGAGACAATCGACCACAACCGCTGCGTGAGCACCCAGCGTGAGCCCGAGAGGAAGGACGTCGCGAGGGCCAGTCCCCTCAACAAGCCGAAGCCCTTGAGGAAGTTCCCGATGCCCGAGGTGATCAGGACGACGCCCTCGACGAAGATCAAGCCACGCACCTTCCGCCCGGTCACGCAGAAGCCGACGACGGTCCCGACCACCCCCAGGGTCTATGGAAAGCTGCAGAAGTGGTGCCTCGACTTCTTCTGCTAAAGGTCGGGTGGGGGTTAGCAGAAATGGTGCCTGGAATTCTGCTGAACGACATATGCGGTCTAGAAGAATTGGGGTCTGGATTTCTGCTGGACGTCACATAGGGTCTAGCAGCAGATGCGACCAAATTTCTGCTAGGGATTAAATTCTAGCAGAAATGGTGCCTGGATTATCTGGTGGGCATTGAATGGGATTTAGCAGAAGTAGCACGATGACTTTGCTAAATTCTGAGTAAAGTATAGCACTAATGATGCCAAGACTTCTAGTAGACGCCACGCAGGGTCGAGCAAAACCGGTGCATGGACTTCTGCTGGGCGTCGGAAAGGGTCACGCGGCGAGGCCCCTGTTGGTTCCTGCAGGAGCGGCGCCGATCTGGAATGTATTATATCATCTCGTTGCTGCAGATAACAAGTGAAGTCTGTACTACGCTTGCATTAACTGGGCAGGATTTTCAAGTTTTTTTTTTATTGCTGAAAAGGTGTTTCATCGAAAGCAGCGCCTAATTACAGATTACGACCACAGATAGAAAATAGAAACCTATGCTATTAAGAACCAATCAGCTATAACAATAGCACGTGTTGAGGAAGGGGGCGTGGCTACAAGTTATTGTGAAAGCAGAATAGTTTATCAAGGTGATGTAGTTACCAAAGGCCTCCAGATCGTTAAACAAAGTTCCAATAAATTCTAAAACCACGTATACCTTAATTAAGTCACAGAGGCGTTTGGAAATGTCATTAATCAGGGTCCTTTAACATCAGGTCGTAATTTGGTGACATTAACTATTGTGGGATATGTCTCCTGCAAGACACAATGATGGGTCTTAGTATTTTAAGGAAGCATTATATTACCATTAGGTTTATTGCATGTGTCACGTCAAGTAGGCATGATAGGTGCGATATATATGACATATATTTTATATATCACATAGACGTAAGCACAATGTGTGTGTTTTTTATCGCATGTATCGGAAAATGATGAACACAGGCACATAATATGAATAAACAGACAAACAGACACCTATGCGCCCACACACACACACACACACACACACCCACACACACAAACACATACACACACAAACACCCACACACACAAACACATACACACACAAACACCCACACACACAAACACCCACACACACAAACACATACACTCCCGCACACACAAAGTAATATATATTAGCAACGGTTATCGTTTTTATACGGAAACAACGTATATTTCTGATTCCACTATTCACCAGTTTTGATATACTGTATTTCATTACATACTGTGTTTCTGAAACACTTTGCTTCTGCTAATAAAGTCTTCTCGACTGAATTATAACCCAAATTTTACTACCACAACCACTGTTTTACAAGTATTGTTAGAGAGCAGCCATTAACTTCTTAATTAGTTATAAGGAATATGATAAAACGAAAGATACTGAAAGCAATACATGCAAATTTAAGTACAGATTTAACTTTTCGTTCTTCTAAAATGATTAAGCCAGTGCTATAATGATTCGTTATGATTAAGGATATTGCAGACTTGAGTGATTCTGCATTATTGTTTTAGGTCGAGCTGTGTGTCTATCGGGGAAATTATTTTCCTCTTCACTAAAGGTTTATATCATTTTATGTTACATAATACCTAGCGGGACCTGTGGAAAGGATGAAAAAGAAAAGAAAGAAAAAAAAAAGGAAGGTACTCCTCTCTCCCTTTTTCACACCTTTTACCTTTCGCTTCCCCTCTCCCTTTTTCTTTCCCTCTCCTTCTTCCTCTCCCTTTATCTCTCCTCCCTCTCCCTTTTCCTTTCCTTCTCCTTCTCCCTCTACCTTTTACTTTCCCTCTCCTTCGTCCTCTCCCTTTTCCTTTCCCTCTCTTTCTTCTTCTCCCTTTTCCTTTCCCTCTCCCTTTATCTCTCCCTCAACTTTTTCCTTTCTCTCTCATTCTCCCTCCCCCTTTATCTCTTTATACATTTATCTCCCTTTTCCTTCTCCCTCTCCCTTTATCTCTCCTCCCTCTCCCTTTTCCATTTTCTCTCCTTCTTCCTCTCCCTTTTCCTTTCCCTCTCCTCCCTCTCCCTTTTCCTTTCCCTTTCTTTCTCCCTCTTCCTTTATCTCTCCTTCGTCCTCTCCCTTTTCCTTTCCCTCTCCTTCTTCCTCTCCCTTTCCCACATCCTTCTTAAATTCACTCCCTCCTCCTCTAAATGTTCGAGTAAGTGAACAGATGGACTAAAAGACGAACTAGAAGCAAAATTATGATGATAAATGATAATGATGGTAATAATAATGATAATGATGATAACGTAATGATAATTATTACGATCACAGTGATGATTATGATAATGATAACAATAATGACAACATTGATAATGTTAGTAATGATCATGGTAATAGTAATAATAACGATAATGATAATGATGATAATCATAGCAGTAATAATAATGATAATACTGCTGATAATGATAATGATAATAATGATGAAAACAATAATAATGATAATGATACTTCTGCTACTACTACTACTACTACTACTAATACTAATAATGATAATAACAATAATGAGTATGATAATAATGATAACAATAATGATAATAACAATACCAGTAATAATAATAATAATAATAATAATAATAATAATAATAATAATAATAATAATAATAATAATAATAATAATAATAATAATAATAATAATGATAATGAAAATGGGAATGATAAAAATATCCGTGATAACGATAATGATCATGATAATAATAATAACAGTAATAAAAACAACAAGAACAATGATAACAGTAACAAAAACAACAAGAACAATAATAACAGTAATAAAAACAACAAGAACAATGATAACAGTAACAAAAACAACAAGAACAATAATAACAGTAATAAAAACATCAAGAACAATGATAACAGTAATAAAAACAACAAGAACAATGATAACAGTAATAAAAACAACAAGAACAATGATAACAGTAATAAAAACAACAAGAACAATGATAACAGTAATAAAAACAACAAGAACAATGATAACAGTAATAAAAACAACAAGTACAATGATAACAGTAATAAAAACAACAAGAACAATGATAACAGTAATAAAAACAACAAGTACAATGATAACAGTAATAAAAACAACAAGAACAATGATAACAGTAATAAAAACAACAAGTACAATGATAACAGTAATAAAAACAACAAGTACAATGATAACAGTAATAAAAACAACAAGAACAATGATAACAGTAATAAAAACAACAAGTACAATGATAACAGTAATAAAAACAACAAGTACAATGATAACAGTAATAAAAACAACAAGAACAATGATAACAGTAATAAAAACAACAAGAACAATGATAACAGTAATAAAAACAACAAGAACAATGATAACAGTAATAAAAACAACAAGTACAATGATAACAGTAATAAAAACAACAAGTACAATGATAACAGTAATAAAAACAACAAGTACAATGATAACAGTAATAAAAACAACAAGAACAATGATAACAGTAATAAAA